ACCCAGGTCAAGGACAGCTGGCACTATAAATATGGTGGCAATCATGGAGAGACACCCAGGTCAAGGACAGCTGGCACTATAAATATGGTGGCAATCATGGGGAGACACCCAGGTCAAGGACAGCTGGCACTATAAATATGGTGGCAATCATGGGGAGACACCCAGGTCAAGGACAGCTGGCACTATAAATATGGTGGCAATCGTGGGGAGACATGAATGTCACTGCCGAGCTTAGTGAACCTCTCGACAAGGTCAACATTTTTCTTCACAGACGGACACACTACTGATGGCTATGCCCAAGAGGTCATTAAAGGCCTGGATCTTGTTTTTTTTTTTTTTTTTATCCAGGACACTTGCAAGGTCAGATACTCAGACTCCTCACTCAGTCTCTGGAGAGTCCCGATCAGAGCCTCCATTGATTTCACAAAGATCACCACATCATCGGCAAAGTCAAGATCACCGAATCTTTCTTCACAAGCAGAAACCCCAGAGCCGCAGGACCTTACAATCCTGCCTAACACCCAATCAATGCAAGCATTGAACAGAGTAGGAGCAAGAACACACCCCTGATGAACCGCAGAATCAACTGTAAATAATGCAGAGGTTCTGCCTCCACTCTGCACAGCACTCCGGCTATAACATCCAGCAACTTTGAGGGGATCCTGTGAATCTCAGGATGTCTCACAGGGCAGTTCAATCAGTTGAGTCAAACGTGTTATGAAACTCGCGTGTGTGCTCGCAAAGAAGCCTCAGTGGCAGGTCAATGGTAGACTTCTTAGGCATAAAATGAGACTGCTCCATGATGACAGGGACACCTGTAAATTATGCATGTCAGTTTGACGGCTATGGTTACCTCTGGCTCCTGCTTAGTGTGGCCAAAATGAAGGTGGAGCACACAAAGGAGGAGGAGAGCCCAGCTTCCTATCTGCAAAGACAAGAAAAGACGTGGCAAACTGAGAGAGAGCAGGACCTGCAGAACCTGGCGTTCCGTGGTCTGTATCAGAAGGCACTTCAATTTCAATTCAAAAAAGCCAGTAAGTAGCAACAGTGCCCAGCAGACTGTTCACTAAACTGAGGAGCTTAGGAGTAAACAACCGACTGTGTGTGTGGGTGCTGGACTTTCTCACTGGTAGGTCACAGGTGGTGAGAGTTGGGAACTGTGTCTCCAACAGCATCACCAAATGGTGGGGCTCATTACCATGCCTGAGACACAGTACCGTGAACACCTGATTCACACTATCAAACTAAACAGGGCGGAGGAGAACTGATGAAGAAAATGAGTCAAATGCAGCTGGAGGAGCTGAACTCCAAAAAAGAAAAAGGTCCAGACAGCGGTGGTCCCTCCAGACCCAAACACCAGGGGACAGCCTGCGGACAGCTGATAGTCTCCTATCGCTGGAGCCTCCCAGGATACTGATTGGCCTCTGGTCCCTAATTGGAATAGACTGGGTAGACATGATTTAAGGCCGTAGCTAGGATACTGAGGTCAAAAGTG